GGATAAATGTGGAGAAAAAAGGGGATAAATGTGGAGGAAAAGGGATAAATGTGGAGGAAAAAGGGACAAATGTGGAGGAAAAAGGGGATAAATGTGGAGGAAAAGGGGATAAATGTGGCTCTGTGCCAGCCAAGTGTGTCATGGCCCCAGCCATCCCTGCTCCGAGTTGTGCCGGGCCTCAGGCAGGGAAAATCCCCTGGATTGTCCATCCCACCCTGCTTTCCTCTCCCCAGAATATCCCTCCAATCCCAAATTTTCTCCTCCCCAGAATGTCCCTCCCGTCCCCATTTCCCCCTCCCCAGAATGTCCCTCCCGTCCCCATTTCCCCCTCCCCAGAATGTCCCTCCTGTCCCCATTTCCCCCTCCCCAGAATGTCCCTCCCGTGCCCATTTCCCCCTCCCCAGAATGTCCCTCCCGTCCCCATTTCCCCCTCCCCAGAATGTCCCTCCTGTCCCCATTTCCCCCTCCCCAGAATGTCCCTCCCGTGCCCATTTCCCCCTCCCCCCGGTTTCCCCCTCGCTCACCGCAGTACCCCGGTGTCCCACACACGGTTTTCATGGTGTCCTGTTCATCCACGATCTTGGAGAGCCCGAAGTCACCTTGCAGGGACACGAGGGAGTGGCGCTGCCATCAGGGAGGGGCTCAGGGATCCCCCAGGGTCCCCAACCCCGCCAGGGTCCCCAACGCACCGATTTTGAGGGGCGCGTCGGGGGACAGGTCTGCGTAGAGCAGGTTCTCCGGCTTCAGGTCCCGGTGCACGACTCCGTTCTGGTGCAAATACTGCGGAAAAAGGGAAAACGGGATGTGCAAAGGACGGGAACGCTCTCAGACAGATTTTGGGAGGTGGCAGCAGCGATTGGGGACCTGTCACAAACTCGGGACCAACTCGGGAACAGTTTCCAATCAGGAGTTGCCGTTTTTTAAAGCCTCCTGTTTCCATGGAAACTCTGGGATGCAGAGCAGCCCTGACCTTCCTCCTCCCTCCCCTTCATTCCCTCCAAGGGTGGATCCATCTTCTCCCAGCGGAGCCTTTGGATGGCCAAGGGCAAGTGGACAAATGAGATGTTTGGGATCGACACAGCTCCAGGTGCCTCTTCCCAGGGATATTTGGGATGGGGGGAGCTCTGAGCATCTCTCCCCAGGGGTATTTGGGGTCACTGTAGCTCCGGGTGCCTCTCCCCAGGGATATTTGGGATCGAGACAGCTCCAGGTGCCTCTTCCCTGGGATATTTGGGATGGGGACAGCTCCAGGTGCCTTTCACAGGGATATTTGGGATGGGGACAGCTCTGAGCATCTCTTCCCAGGGATATTTGGGATGGGGACAACTCCAGGTGTTTCTCCCCAGGGATATTTGGGATGGGGACAGCTCCAGGTGCCTCTTCGCAGGGATATTTGGGATGGGGACAGCTCTGGGTGCCTCTCCCCAGGGATATTTGGCATGAGGACAGCTCTGAGCATCTCTCCCCAGGGATATTTGGGGTGGGGACAGCCCCAGGCCCCTTTCCCCAGGCACATTTGGGTGCAGCCCCCCCAGTGCCACCCCTGGGACCCCCTCACAGGGCTGTCCCAGGGTCACGGTACCGAAACAGCCTCCAGGATCTGCTTGACCACGTGCGCCGCGTCCCGCTCGCTGTAGAACCCCCTCTCCACGATCCTGGGGGCACACGGAGCCTTCAGCCCCCTCCATCCTCCTCCTCCTCCTCCCCCATCCCGCTGGGATCCATCCCCCCGCGACAGATCCGTACCTGTCGAAGAGTTCTCCCCCCGTCACCAGCTCCAGCACCAGCGCGATCTCCGAGGGCGTCTCGAAAATCTCCTTCAGCTTGATCTGCGAAGGGAGACAGGAGGGAATTTGGGATGTGGGGTGTGGGGTGTGGGATATGGGATATGGGGTGTGGGATATGGGATATGGGATATGGGATATGGGATATGGGATATGGGATATGGGATATGGGATATGGGATATGGGATATGGGATATGGGATATGGGATATGGGATATGGGATATGGGATATGGGATATGGGATATGGGATATGGGATATGGGATATGGGATATGGGATATGGGATATGGGATATGGGATATGGGATATGGGATATGGGATATGGGATATGGGATATGGGATATGGGATATGGGATATGGGATATGGGATATGGGATATGGGATATGGGATATGGGATATGGGATATGGGATATGGGATATGGGATATGGGATATGGGATATGGGATATGGGATATGGGATATGGGATATGGGATATGGGATATGGGATATGGGATATGGGATATGGGATATGGGATATGGGATATGGGATATGGGATATGGGATATGGGATATGGGATATGGGATATGGGATATGGGATATGGGATATGGGATATGGGATATGGGATATGGGATATGGGATATGGGATATGGGATATGGGATATGGGATATGGGATGTGGGATGTGGGATATGGGATATGGGATATGGGATATGGGATATGGGATATGGGATATGGGGTATGGGATATGGGATATGGGATATGGGATGTGGGATATGGGATATGGGATGTGGGATATGGGATATGGGATATGGGATGTGAGGTGTGGGGTGTGGGGTGTGGGATATGGGATACAGGGATGTGGGATATGGGATGTGGGAATGCATCCCAACTCTGCCAGGGAGAGGCCGTGACCACCAGGGAGGGGGGAAAGGGTCATTTCAGGGCAAACATTTCCCTCCTCCGTTTGGTTTTTCCCCACTCTTGATTGGTTTTCACCTGAATTTTTTTAACTGTCCGCAGCAGCCCCGCTCACTTAACACGGATTAAAGATGAGTCTGGGAATGTGCAGAGCCTTGATCCTCCTCACATCTCCGAGCTGGTTTGTCAGAGCCCCTCGAAAGCGTTTGAATTTCGCTGCTCCATGGGCACCTTGGAGCCCCTGTCCAGTCCCAGGGGATGGATCCTGATGAGGGAGAGCCGGACACACCCTGCGAGGTCACGGCCACTCTGGGATCCATCTGGAAATGTCCCTTGGATTGTTCTGCAGCACAAGAGGCACCAAACCCCTGTTTTCCTCCAGATTTTTTTTGTGATTCAGCTCCCACACGAGCCCTTTGTGCCTCCACAGCCCATCTGGAATTAACAATTCTCTCTTAAAGCGACGTCCAAATGCAATTTTTCCTTTTTTTTTTTTTTTTTTTCTCCCTTTTTTTTTTTTTATTTAAAAAAAAAATGGAAACCCAAGAATTTCACGCTTCTTAAGACTTTTGTGACACCACGAATTTCATGGGGCTTTAATCATTCCCTTCCCAGGCTGGGTGACAAGCCGTGATCCCCCGCGGGGTGAGAGACACTATGTGGCAGCTTATTGCATTATAATAATACACGGAGCACTATAATTTTCCTATTAACTTCAAAAGTTTACAATCCTATTATCAGCCTCTGCCGAGGTCGGTGCCGCACGATAGCGGCGCCGGCGTCAATAATGGAGCAGAGCAGCTCCTCTTCAAACATCACTTGAACTTGGGATGAGCAGAACCCCACGGAAACCTCGGGGATTTAAATATTCAAACGGGCTGGATCCTCCTCCACGGCTCCCAGGAGGAGAGGGGAGGGCAGAAATTGGATTTTCTGTGGTGTTCCTGATAACACATCAGAGAGGAGCCTCTTCCCATCCACGGCTGGCCTCACCTGGGCTGCTCTGAGCGGATGATTCCCGTCCTGGCTGTTATCCCTGCATCTGCCCAGATGTCCTGGGATGAGGGGAAGTTTCTCCATGGAAGAGGTTGAAGCACCAAATTGCCCCAAAACACTGCAACACCCCAAAATGGGCCCACGTCGAGCTGGCTGAGAGGTTTGGAGATGACTTGCCCCCAGTGCTTTGAGCATTTTCTCTCTGGTTTTTGGGATGTTTGAGACTTCTCTTGGCTTCATCTCTTTGCATGAAGGCTTTGGAGCTTCTCCAGAGAGCAAAGCTCCGAGGATGGGCTGGGAGCAGCCATGTCCAGGGTTTGAGGGATGCTGAGGCTTGGGCAGCAGAGCCAGTGGCAAGACAATGTCCCAGGGATGTCCCAGGGATGTCCCAGCGATGTCCCAGGGATGTCCCAGCGATGTCCCAACAATGTCCTGACCACAATCCCATCCAGAGCAGGGCCCGTCAGCCCCACAGCAGCTCCCAGGTGGTTTTTGCGTCATTTCCTTAACTCAGGTGTTCTGCAAGATCCTTTTGCAACTTCCCAGTGGAACCACACAGTCGGGAACGAGCCTTTTTTGGGAGGTGGGGGGCACAGAGGCCCCCGGAGCTCCCGTTATCCCCGGAGAGCTGAGCGAGGGAACGGCGGTGGGCAGGACACGGCCCCAGCCCCCGCAGCCTCAGCCTCCCCTTTTATCTCCCCTGGCAGGATTCATTACAAACACACAATTTTCCCGGGATTCATTTGATCTCCTCGATGGAAATTGCTTGCCTGGTGGAAATCTCAAGCCAGGGCGTGGGGAGGGGGAGGACGGGGGGGTCCTTGGCCTTGGATATCAGAGCTGGGAGCTCAGAGCAGCTGCAAGGACCAGGAATTTCATGTGGCAGCGAGTGGGGAATCACCTGGACACTGTCGGTGAGGCAGGGAGGGGACACGGGGTGCAGGAAGGGTTTTCCATGGGGTGCAGGAAGGGTTTTCCATGGGGTGCAGGAAGGGTTTTCCATGGGATGCAGGAAGGGTTTTCCATGGGATGCAGGAAGGGTTTTCCATGGGATGCAGGAAGGGTTTTCCATGGGATGGTGCCTTCACCCTGCACCAAGCTGGGATGAGGACAAGAACATTCCAGCCCTTCCCTCAGCACTGGGCTGAGTTAAGGGCAAACCCGTCCCCAGCAGCCGTGGACCTGACCCAAAGGGAGGTGGCAGCCGTGTCACAAGGGTCCTACTCACGATGTTGGGGTGCGAGAGCCGCAGCAGGACCCCGATCTCCGTCCTCACGATCTTTTTGTCGATCTGGGAAGCAGAGCCCGCACAGAGCTTGTGTCACCTGCGCTGCCAGGCCTGGCCCCGGCTCCCCACCCCGCAGAGACCCCCTCGTTACTCCCAGCACATTTCCAAGTCTGTCTCGGGGCCCACCCCAATCCCAAATCCCAGCGCTTTTGTCCCCGTGGGACCCCCAGGCTGTGGGAGCGGTGCCCGGTGCCAGCCCCATCCCGGTGCCAAGGGGCAGGGGAGGAGAGACAGCACCAGCCCTGCCCCCCAGGCTCCCTGATGCTCCGCCTTCCCCTCCCCAGCCCCTCTCCTGCCTCGCTCACCGTTTTCTTCAGGATCTTGGCAGCGTAGGGAGCTCCCGTGCCCTTCTCCTGGCAGCTGAACACCACCGAGGTGGCTCCCCTAGGAGGGCAGGGAGGACGTGAGGCTGGCACAGAGCTGGGGGTCCCGCTCCCCCTGTGCCCCCCACCAGCACCTTTGGCAGTGCCAGGCCCTGGGAGCTCAGTGTGGATCCCACTCTTCATGGATCCTGCTTTTCATGGATCTCCCTCCTCCTGAATTCCCTTCCTCCTGCATCCTCCCATTCCTGAATTCCCTTCCTCCTGAATCCCCCCATTCCTGAATTCTCTTGTTATTGAATCCCCCCACTCCTGAATTCCCTTCCTCCTGCTTCCCTCCATTCTTGAATTCCCTTCCTCCTGTATCCTCCCATTCCTGAATTCCCTTCCTTCTGAATCCCCCCATTCCCAAATTCCCTTCCTCTTGCATCCCCTCACTCCTGAATTCCCTTCCTGTACCCCTCTCCTTCATCCCCACCCCTCATCCCCTTCCTGCACCGCCCTCCCGCATCCTTCCCGGCTGAGGCTATTTTAATTAAACCCGACTTCTACAGGGGGTTTAAATCCTTAAGCGGCTTTCACGACGGGCCGGAGCCGCCGTGTCCCCGCTCGCAGCCTCTGGGTGACAGTAGCGACACTGCCGGGGTCCCGATGTCACCAGACAGCTCCTGCCAGGTGACACCGCCGCGTCCCCTCCGTGCCCCTCAGCCACCTCGGCTCGAGTTAATCGCGTTTCCCGAGCGCTGGACGGTGAAATCAGCCCAGAGCTCCGGGGCTCATTTGCAATTCCATCTCCCTGCCTGGCTCCTGGAGCAGATTAATTCCTGTCCCCGGGTAATCGGCCGCGTTTTGCCGCACTTTGGCTTCGCCGCCCTCTGGGACGGAGCTCAGACTGTGCCTGGAGGTGCCCGACAAGATCAGATCCCCCAAAACCACCGAATTTCACACCGAATCCTCCCCTGAGCCCACCAACATCCCCGCCTCGCTGCAGCTCCCGAGCTCCCGGGTGCTCTCCTCAAAGAAGGATTTGTCTTCAAGCCCCGAGCAGATTTTGCAACTCATCCGGCTGAATTTGGGAACGGCGTTCCCATGGCAACGGCAGCGCCGGGTACCGGCTTCCTCCAGGATGCTGCGGCATCCACCTGGCACCGACCAACCCCAACCCTGCCCAGCTTCAAAACATTTCCTCCCTTTTGCCAAACGTTCTTCATGAGACTTTAAAAGTGATTTGGAGAATTGTTGCGGCTGGGAGGGGAGGGGAGAGGCGGCAACCACCTGCTCCAGCTCAGGAAAACGGGCAAAAGCTGCAATTTGACCCCAAAACGGCATTGCTGCTGCTGTGCCCACAACGCTCATCCAGCGGGAGAAGCCACGAGGTTATTGTTGGAATTTCCCAGCTGGGCTGGACACGGGGCAGGACCTTCCACCCCCTCTCCACGACTGAATCCCAGCCAGGATCTGTCGCCTCTCACCCTCCCTGTACATTTTTCCGCACGGACAATTCCCAGCCTGATTCCCGCCGCTAACGAGATCATTTAGGAGCGCTCGGCTCGGTGTTTAGGAGGGCTCGGGGTGGCTCCTGTGCCCGCTGTGCCCGCGGCGCTGCCCCTCACGCGTCCCCAATTAGGGCAGCGCTCGGATCCGGGCTGGAATTCGCCACACCTCGGCCCCCGCCGGCCCCCGCAGCCACCGCTCAAGGCCTCAAATAAATATCCCAAATCAGCCTTGCCTGCGATGGGAGATAATTGCATTTGCTTCCCAGATGAACTGGAAAATGTCGAACGATGGGATTTGCCGAGAGGCTGGAACGTGCGGCCGCTGCGAGAGCCGGGAGCGGCCCCGGGCTGGGTCCTCCCCGCTGTCCCCACATCCCTGCCCGGCTCCCTCCGTCCCTCTCCTGCTCCCTGGGGTTTCCTGGCCAGAACCGGCTCCAACCTTGCCAGGAGAGGCTCTAAGGGAGAGCTGTGCACGGCCAGTGAGCTCCCACAGCCCAAATGCCAGCTGGATCCCAACACCGTGAGTGGGAGGCTCCAGGACTGAGACCAGCTTGATTTAAATCTGGTGCTGAAACTGGATGGATGGATGGATGGATGGATGGATGGATGGATGGATGGATGGATGGATTCCAGGGGCTCCAGGCCTGTCCTTCTGTCCTACATCCCTCTGTGCAGGACTGGGTGCTGCCAAGCCCTGGGCTGATGTGGCCACACCTTGATATAAACCCTTAAATTCCTGCTTTCACCAAAACTGCTGGTTTTTAGGATTCTCTGAGGATTTAAAACCAGTGGCAGCTGGGGCTGGCCCAGCCTGAACCACCAAATCCACCTGTTCCAGAGTCAGGGCTCCGAGGCAGCGCTGCCTCCTCCCACTGGCACAGCCCGGAGCTCCCACAAACGGGATCACCAAAATTCCCCCCACAGGCTCCCGGCTCCCCCTGCCTGAGGGGCACCAGGACACCTCACCCGTGACCCCAGCCTTCAGATGGGCCCTCCAAGCCCAATCCAGAGCTGGGAATCTCTGTGGAGGCTGGCGCTGCCTGGCAGGGCGGACCCTGACTGCCCACCCCGGAGCCTTGGGGTGCTCAGAGTGGAGATGGGTCTCCCCACGATCCCACTGCCATGGGCATGAGGAATATCCAGCTCCACAGGCCCAGAGACCCCCGGCCCGACCTGCAAACCCCCAGTGAGCGCTCCCAGACCTTGGCAGCAGTGTCACAGCGCAGTCCAAGCACCAGGTTACACCAGAGGGGAGGGTCTGTCACCATCCATCCCCCTTATCTGTCCTCCAATCCTTCCACAGCCTTTCTACGCCCATCCATCTCCCCTGCTTGTCCATCCCTTCCTGCATCACTCCATTCTTCCATCCCTCCTCATCCATTCCTCCCACACCCACCCATCCCCTCGGTATCTGTCCCTCCCTTCCTGCATCCTTTCCTGCATCCCTTCACCCCTCATTCCCCTTCACCACCGCCCCCAAATCCCTCCAACCCTCCCATCCATCCCCTCCATATTCCTCCACCCTTCCCCACATCACTCCATCCCCGCCTGCTTCCCTCCCTCCCTCCTACCTCCCTCCAGCCCCCTCCCCACCAGACCAGTCCCTGCCCCATCCAGGACCCTCTCCCACCCCGGGGGGGCTCCTGCCCCTCCCAGCCCCTCGCTGTTCGCTCTCCCCGCCCGGTACCGTCCCAGCTCGGGGCCCACGACGTAGAAATCTTCCAGTGTCGCCTCCCGGTGGGATCCCTCGATCCAAAACTCGCTCCCGCTCTTGGACGACGGCATGGTGGGCTGGGGGCTGCGAGCTGCCGCCAGCTGCTGACAAGGGGAGACCCCGGCATGGATCCCCGCAGCGCCCCCCGCCTCACCCCCACCCAATCCCCCCCGCGCTGCCGGGAGTGCCCAGATGGCTCGGGAAAAACCAGCGCTCGGGATTATCGAGCGCCATGGAATTACGGCCACAAATCCCCTTCCCACCCGGCACGTACGATGCCTTTTCCGAGATAATTCCCCCCGCTGTGGGATGGGTCCCCCGCCCCGGCTTTTCCCACCGCCCTCCTCCCCCTTTTCCCACCCCATTCCCACCTGTCTGGGGATCCCCCAGAGCCCGGCGGGCCGAGCGCCCATGGATTGCTTTGCACCCCGATTCCTGCAGCCTCCCCCAAACCCCCCCGGCCCTCCGCACGCCCCCGGGAATTTTGGGGTGGGGTCGTGGCCCGGCACGTACCGTTACCTGCGGCGCCGCTCGTGTCCCCCCGGGCGCTGCCTCATCCCCGGGCACGGGGGGTCCGGAGCCCCCGGGGCTGGTGCTGAGCCTGCCCGCGCCCCCCCCCCCCCCCCCCCCCCCCCCC